TTTGTGTTACCTGATTGGTGAAATACAGCTGGTAGGAATGGTTAACCAATCGGGTCCTGAAGCTGAGGCTCAGCTGACCCTCCAGGAATCTGATGGCGCTGTTTATGAAAGTTGCAGGAACTGCAACGAGGAGCCACTTGGAGAGCTGAAGCACGAAGGCCTGAGGATCCTTCTGAACAATACACCGCACTATCACGCCTGACACACACAGCAGATCAATACTGATGATTAGTGATGATGCCAAACTAACTACATCACCACTGATCCTAAAAATATGATCAATGGATAACTAATGACTTTATAGACAAACAAGGAGACCGACCGTCCAGAGACGCGACGTAAATCGACAGGAAGGTCCGGGACATCAGGGTGAGAGAGTGTAAGGCGAGCAGGGCGATCTCTGGACAAAGTAACCGTGGAAACAAGAGCTTCAGCAGCCGGGAAAGTCTGAGGAAAAAGTCCCTGTTGACCGACGGAGACCTGAGGACAGAAACACACGAGAAGTTCATCCTGAGCTCAACCCTGAAGGCCCGGAGCAGCCGGACAGGCGAGCAAACCCTCTGCCACTTTAAAAACACACCTGCTGTCACTCTTCTTCTGCTTCTTCTCTTTCTTGCTCGTCTCTCCGCCATCGTCAGCAGAGCTCACTGCACCCACTGATGGATCAGATACACCCAGCTGTTTACCTGCTGCTCGCCTCTGCAAAGACAAACCCACAGTCACCTGCGCTGTTCGTACAGGTGTGAACAGGTCTGTGCAGTTCTGTTTTCAGGTCAGTTTATTCCGAGTCAGCTCCCAGAATATGTTTCCTGGTTTCAGTTTATATATTTTAATCTCATCTTTAGTTTTCAGTGTTTTTGTGAATGTTCTTTTGATAATCCTGGGGAGGATTTGTCTGTAGATTTAGGAAGTTCAGAACAAATAATCCAAACAGAAACGTAGGCTGACTCACCTTCACGCAGACATCCCAGCCTCAGCAAACACATGAACTAATGCTTCCCTGTATTCTTCCTGCTAAACAAAGACTTAAACTAAAGGAATATTTTGTTAGGGCTGTCACGACACCAACCACAGTTAAATTAAAATACATTTCACTGGTTCACAGTATCTCCAGTGGCTCCACAGTGTGGTGGTTTACACATGTGTGAGAGGCTCGAGATCAGGAGGAGATAAAAATCCCTTCAAGGTTGCATCAGGAAAGGCGTTTCTGAGAATAAGAATTTTTCCTATCTACCGAAAATATACAATAGACTCTGTGCGCCTCAGCATATGCTACGTCCGGTGGGGAAACTCCTCTAGAGTGCTCCGTTTCCGGTGTGATTTTCGCTCCTTGTTTACCGTCGGTTTTTCTAAAACAAGTCAACCACATTGACATTACATTTCTCAAGATGTCTCGGGCATTTACCGAATATATCTGTAGATGATGTTCGTCGACTTGTCGATATTTTTCCCTCGCCCCTCAGAGCAAAAGAGAAAAAGGATTCAAATGTTATATTTCTCAGTATTTGTGTACAGCGGTCCCTCGTTTATTACGGGTGTTATGTTCTAAAAATAACCAGCGAAATCCGCAAAGTAGCCAACTTCATTTTTAACAATTATTATAGATGTTTTAACATTGTAAAAACCCCTCACTACACACTTTATACACTTTTCTCAGACAGGCACGAACATTTTCACACTTTTCTCTCTTGTTTAAACTCTCAAAGTTCAAACCTTTGTAGAAAAATAAATACAGTATTATAAAATAAAACCAAAGATCAAACCCTGTTTTCAGGTCCAGAACATGAGAATAGAGCAGCTGTGAGATAATTCAACATCAATGAATCAATGAATCAGCGATTGATGTAGCGATTCTGTACTGTACAGGAGAGACGGCACGGAGGAGATCGACAGTGGTCTGCAGCCAATCAGGATGCAGAACACAATGATGCATGCAAAGAAAATCCGCGAAACAGCGCAGCTGCAAAAGGTGAACCGCGTTATAGCGAGGGACCACTGTAATTTTGAAGGTAAGTCATAGAGGTGGGAATCACCATACATCCCACGATACGATATTAT